CGACAAAAATTTCGGCGAGAGCGCAACCTCACCCCATGCCGACAACACATGAACATCCTTAATAATGTGGGGGCTACAGACGGTTGGCCCCCTCGCCCTCCCCTCCCCCCTCTAATGTCTGCTTATGTTCTTTCTTCACAACTACCACTCGCTCCAAGCGAAATACCGGCAATGGCCTGATGGGAAAGTTCGGACAAATGTATGGACTTTTTATTCCGTCAAATTTGATTACGTATCCGACCGCGAATTTATAAGGACACCATACTTTATTTATATCATAAGTAATGACATGGGCAGATGAGAGCATGTACACCGCCCAAAATGGGATCCTCAAAACTAAATATACGGGGGTATGCCACAAATTATTTGAAAATATTTTTCAACTCTACTTTTGCTACTGAAGGAAATAAACACACCGAGATACTGCAGTTGCTTCCAAGTTGTGAAAGCCACAAGAAGCCTCGATTTCGTGTACAAATTTCCCGCTTTTTCTCGCGTCTGGGAATGTCACGCGTGGCGGCAGGGATGGTGTTGAAATGGTTTAACCACAAAATTCGACGGGTTAGTTTTATTGATACTATTTTACATTTATCAATTCCTCTGAAGAAAACAATGAAGATCAATTTTGCCGATTTCAAATCTAGGCAGAGCCTTCGCTGTTCAACAGCACACGCTGAGTGACTGGTACAAGAGGACTGAACAACTTTGAACATCATGTCTTGTCGTTTCGGCAGACAGCAACGCGGCGAATTCTGAAAGACACAGAAAGACACTTCTTTAGCTCGGTTGAACACAATGGAGATTTAATTTAAGGTAATCTAATTAACTGAAATTTTAACTTAGTAGTTGAATTTGCTCTTCCGAACAGTTCACGCAGCTCTCCGCTTTAAACACGTTGAGAATAGCTCAATATTTACCGAAAGATTAACAAGCCTGTTTTAGTTTTAGTTCGTTTATTTGAGTTGTTTTAATGAATTCCGACGTTTTCAGGGTATGTAAATATTGATAACGCTTGCTATTGATACCGTAGTTAGTACAGATATTTTACTGAATACTGAGGAATATTTCTGAACTAGGCCGAAGCCCAGTCGTTTGTGTGAAGATTCTTCACAGAGCCTCTCTGATAAATTCGCTAGATTGACATATATTAATCTCAAGGGTATATACTTATTCAAGTAGACAAGATTCTGAATAAAACAAATGTAGAAATTGTTTTCGCTTCCACTGAAAACATTCCTTCAACTACAAATTTTACTGGCAGCGTCTTCGCAGGAGATACAGTAGGAACTGCTACGTGCGAGCTTGACTTGAAATATTTTCCTTTATCAACAGCAACGCATCGCATTAACCTCGTTGTCCCAATAGGAATCTTCGTTTTTCCTGCGGGGTTTTAGCTCAAGTGACCATGACAGTACTTCATCGGTGAGCCCGTTTATGGCTCGTGACTACAGTGAAACCTGCATTAAGCGGACATCCTTGGGACACTCACGAGTGTCCGCTTAATACAGGGTGTCCGCTCAAAGCAGGCTCTAATAGTTAATTATCAACTCTTTTGTAACACACTATAAGATCAAAGACTGCTCGCTCATGCAACCAATTTCATTTCCTATCAAGTTCCGCGTCATGTTGACGCCATATTCAGAACCGTTTCTTAGAAATAGCACTCATTTCGGAAGGGGGGAGGGACGATTTCAAAGTATAAACACTTTTAAAAAACATAAAGTTTATATCTTCTGAAGGCTATGACTAATATTGTGTTAACAAAAAAGTTAACGTATTACGTAAACGGTATAGAATGTTCAGTTGGTGGCCACTAATAGTAATAAAACTCGCAATTCAAGCTTCAAGTTGGCTCGAAAGAAATGATTTTGATGTTCCCTACCCACCCACACCCCGTTCCCTCAGCCTATGGGAGTCGTAAGATACTCTCCAGCCAATAGCAGGATTTCTAAGAAATCGCCACCCGCTTCGATTCGAAGCTAAGCTGCGTCGCACTTGCTTTGATGATATTTTAAGCTTATATAGTGCTGTAAAGCCAGATAAAAATCTAACATAATGCAGCAGGCTGCTGTAAATCTTCCAACACGAGTTCGAGTCGGGAGCAGAACAGTCACAATCCAACAGCGACTTGGCAACGGCGCTTTTGGTGTCGTGTATAAGGTCAAAGATGAGGCAAGTTCCACTGTCTACGCGTTAAAAGATGTTCTTTGTTTGAATGCCTCGGCTCTTCGTAATGCTGTCCGCGAGGCTACCACACTAAACAAAATCTCTCATCAGAACGTGATTGCCGTCATGGGAGCAGACCAGTTTCGAGATAGTAAAGGTTTACACATGCTGCTTTTGACTGAGTACTGCTCGGGCGGAAGTTTAAACGACCGCCTTGCTCGACCGAGTAGTGAAGAAATGAATACGAAGTGGATCAGTCAAACAGCCGCAGCTCTTGCACACCTCCACTCACGCGGAGTGGTTCACCGCGATTTGAAGGCGGATAATGTGCTTTTGACCGCAACAGAGGATGTGAAATTGGCTGACTTTGGCCTCGCTCGCGAGTACATCGCACTCAAACGAATCGATGTTAAACAAGACGAAGGATCATGGCTGACAAGTTACACTCAATACTACATGAACTCAGGAGTTGGTCCCGTACACTGGGTGGCTCCTGAATTCTTCACTGGCCATTACACCGAAAAAGCCGACGTGTTTTCCCTTGGTACCTTGTTTTTCGCGATCCTAGAGCGTGATTTCATCGTGGTTGATGGTAAAGCAATTTACGGTGCCTTCGTAAATATTCGTGGTGTGGGCAAACTTGGCCTTGGGCTCGCAATGGCAAAGGTTGATAGCGGTATCAGCATTACGTTCTCAAGCCGTGCACAAGGGTCCAACGCGATGCAAAGGGTAGTTCTTGAGGCCTTGCAGTACGACAAAAATGATCGACCAAGCGCTCAAGAGATTTGTGACAAAGTCATGAACATTCGTCAAGGTGTAAGGCTCAACCAACAGCACCCGGAAACAGAGACGGGTTCGTGTTGCTGAATCGGTTCAAGATGCAAGAACGCTCCTCGCAAGTTGCTGAGAGAACGAAAGTGAGAAAGATTCATTTAAACATACGAAAGTCAAACTAACTAATCAAACGTTTCTTTGGAAACAAATAGTTAATGTCATAACTGTATCGGAATATACGATAAGACTTGCAATTTTGAGCTCAAAAGTTTTGTAGATAAAATAGAACGTTTCCATCAGCTTAGTAGCTCGAAACCAGGAAGATGACCGTTCTGCATAAATACTTCAGTAGTAACAGAAGTCATCAAGATCTTTTGCTTACCCTAAAAATTTGTATTCATATTTTTCTCTGTCTAATGCCGTTTGTATTATTTAATAGCGTAGCGCAAATAGAATCTTTTTTCCTGAAACTAAAGCCATGTTTTTGATTTTATGACATATTTTGTAATGCATCTTCAATGTTACAGATGAATGCAAATATAAAGTTTCCTTGTTATTCTCAACTTGTGGCATAATGGTATTTTTCCAAGTTCATAAACAATTGATATATAAGCTGTTTTCGTTTCTCTCCATACGCATGAATCAGTTTCTCGAGCGGCAGGCGGCCTCTCGCGCAGGAAGGAAGCGAAATCGGGGAAGTCATTGCGCCAATCATCTGAATCAAGATCAAAGTTTCCCACAGCGTGGATCCTTGCATTAGAATTTTCCTAAGATAATTGCTTCAAATTTAAAACACTTCTTTCTTGGGGGAATTTTGCTTTCGTTCACTGTTTTTTCCTGAGATGATCTGGTCCTTGGCCTAATGCTGTCCTTGTTACCCCGCAAACGACCAAAAGAATACCAATGTCAAGCGCGTTTGCTAAACAAACGTTTTCAACATAGCATGATTTCCATTGATTAGTTTTGATACAAAAAATGCTTACCTACAATTGAGACTTGGCAAATAACTGGCCTAGATATTACACTAGCATCTCCTGGAATAGACTCGTTTGATTCTGTTTGCTGTGAGCAGAAATCAGTCGATAAACTACAACCTACTCTCAACGCGCAACAAAAATTCTGTCCGCCATCGCTCCGGCTGAGACGACAGAAGATTGGTCGAATATTGTCACGTAAACCGTGTCCCACACCTTTGTAGCATGTTTTAGTTTGTTTACCAGACAGATTTTAGTCATCCCTAAGCCAATCAGTTATATTTATCTCATACTTTGCATTGGCGAATCCAGACCTTGAGCTAAGGGGGAGGGGGGGGTTTCTTCTTTTTTTACCCACAATAAGGGGGGTGGGCGGGCCCCCGGGCCCCTCCCCTAGATCCGCCACTTCTTTGCCAGCAGACACGCTTTAAAACAGTTAAAATAATAGTTCGCATTTGCCAGCATGCAGTTTTCAAACTGAATGACATTGATATCTTGAGTTTATTCCCTGGAGTGTTTCAAACAATCTCAAGTTGAACTGTTGTCCTTATGTTTTCATTGCAACCAATTTGTATTTCCTATTTTAATAAAAGTTCCGCGTCGTGTAGAACCGTTTCCTTGAAATAGAACTCGTGTGAGGAGGGGGTGGGGGCAATTTCAAAGTAAAAACACTTTTTTAAAAGAAACACAAAGTTTGTATCTTATCTAGGTTATGACCAATATTGTGTTAACAAAAATAAGTTATCTTGGTCGCGACTTAAAGTAATAAAACCGGCAATTCAAGCTGCAAATCGCCTCGTAAAGAATGATTTCGATAGTAAAGTAAAGTAAAGTAAAGTAAACTCCCTTATTTATGCACTACATGCTTGAGGGGTCGTGTATCTTATTAATTATCTAATTATCGATGGCCTCCCTCCCCTCCCTCAACCTATGGCAGTAGAATATTCCGGGAAATCGCCAGATAAGCTGCGTCACACTGTCAGAACTTTTTCTTTGATGACATTTTAAGATTATATAGTGCTGTAAAGCGAGATAAGAGTCTGACATAATGCAGCAAGCTGCTGTAAATCTTCCAACAAGAGTTAGAGTCGGGAGCAGAACAGTCAGAATCCAACAGCGACTTGGCAATGGCGCTTTTGGTGTCGTCTATAAAGTCAAAGACGAGGCAATTTTCACCGTCTACGCGTTAAAAGATGTTCTTTGTTTAAATGACCCGGCTCTTCGTATTGCTGTCCGAGAGGCTACAACACTGAACAAAATCTTTCATCAGAACGTGATTGCCGTCGTGGAAGCAGACCAGTTTCTAGATAGTGAAGGCTTTAAACACATGCTTCTTTTGACTGAGTATTGCTCAGGCGGAAGCTTAAACGACCGCCTTGCTCGACCGAGTAGTGAAGAAATGAATATGAAGTGGATCAGTCAAACAGCCGCAGCTCTTGCACACCTCCACTCACGCGGAGTGGTTCACCGCGATTTGAAGGCAGATAATGTGCTTTTGACTGCAACCGAGGATGTGAAATTGGCTGACTTTGGCCTCGCTCGCGAGTACACCGCACTCAAACGAATTGATGACGAAGGATCATGGCTGACAAATTACACGAAATACTATATGAACTCAGGAGTTGGTCCCGTACACTGGGTGGCTCCTGAATTCTTCACTGGCCATTACACCGAAAAAGCCGACGTGTTTTCCCTTGGTACCTTGTTTTTCGCGATCCTAGAGCGAGATTGCATCGTGATTAATGGTACAGCAATTTACGGTGCCTTCGTAAATATTCATGGTACGGGCAAACTTGGCCTTGGTTATGCAATGGCACATTGGGACTCCAGTATCAGCATTACGTTCTCAAGCCGTGCACAAGGGCCCAACGCTATGCAAAGGGTAGTTCTTGAGGCCCTGCAGTACGAAAGAAATGCTCGACCAAACGCTCAAGAGATTTATGACAAAGTCATGAACATTCTTCTAGATGTAAGGCGCAACCAACAGCCCCAGCGACGTGTAAGGCCCCAACAACAGCACCAGTTCTCGCCCCAGCTACAGAGGAGAGCTGTACATCGAGAAGATCTGCATCAGTCCCTAAATATTGACCCTTGTGGTGAGTAAAATACAGTCCTATTTTTGGGGCTGATTTAGCCCACTTGAAATAGGTTTGTTTTGGCCCCAGTAAATAGGTAGAAATAGCCCTGCAATAAGTAGTCGAAACGACGCCACTGAGGGGCTATTTTGGAAAAATGGGGGGCACAGTAGTTTTGGTTTCTAAAGGGGCTGAAATGGTGCGTTTGGATGGCTAAATTGGCCTTTCTCAAGCCGTTTTGTGTCTTAAGAAAAAAAGAAAATTGGCCCATATTTTGTGGCCAATTTAGCCCAATTTTTGTTCACAGGATCGAAACAAATCTACTCTAAATAACTAAATTTGCACCATTATGTCTGAAATGGCATTCTTTATAAATGCTGTTTTGGGTCTTAATTATTTAAAATTAGCCCTCTTTCAAGGACCAAAAGGATTATTGGCACCATTGAAAATGGCCCCATTTGAGCCATTTCAAACCTGTATAAAAGGGAAACAATATCCAGTGGGTTACTGACTTACCCATATAATACTAAAACGAATGCACTTTTCAGGGCTGTTTTAACTGCAATGTATTTTAAAGGACACTTCACCTCGGATCTGCTTAGATTCAAGAGTCTAATTCAGCTACTGTATATTGCAGGGCTAAAACAAATACCACTTGCTCGAGATGTTCTTATTTTGAAGTTGATTATACACTCATGATACTGCCCTATTGAGCTTAAATCAATACATGCACCACATATGAACCACAGTAGGCACTGAACACGGGACAATTGCATTCGTTAGTGTTTACCAATACCTTTGGGCATTACGTAATCCTTTTGTTACTTGCCATCGTACATTGGGCATTACGTAATTCTTTTGTTAGACTTGCCATCGAACATTTTTCATATATTAGTTTTCGTTCATAAAAATAAGTTAAAATTCTAATCCTTGGTGTGTGCGGTACGAATCGAAACTTCTTGGGCATTTTCGAATATCGAGGACACTTGGACTGTCAGGGCATCGTTTAAAAGTTTGGTTTATAAAATCGTGTGGAATAGAATAAATGTTTAATCTGGTAAACAGGCACTGGTGATTAACACAGGATACGCATTTTGAGAACAACATAACAATATTTTATTCTCTTAATTTAACCTTTTTGGCAAACAAGGTTGTTAATAGATTTTCAATGATTGCATATTAAGAGGGCTAAAAGTTTATTAGTTGTGTAACTATTAGGTGTTACCCTCGATGAAGATTGATTGATTGATTGATTGAAACTAATCAGAAACAGAAAGTGACTGTGGTTCAGTCGAAAGGCTTATCTCAATGCCAGCATGCCATACATAGCAATTAAGAATTTCATTCCCAGTATATAATAGAGTTTGAATCAGATCTTTATGAAACTGACGTGCTAAATTACCTCAAACTTGCTAAATTCACTAAAATATCATTGGATATGAGAAGAGGTAGCTGACATTCAGCAAAGCATGGCCTCTGCCAATGTCAATCAAAGCTTGCTCTCAAAAAGACGTATTGATATATCAGAGAGTTCGTTCAAGTCAAAACCTTCTTCAATAACAACATTTGGTTGCACAAAGATGATGTCATTATCAACTGAAGTAGTTCTCTGAAAAAAAAAAAACAATGGAATAACATAAAATAAGTCACCTCACTACATATAACTGACCAATTTGACCAAATTAAACTATATGCACATGCAAAATACATTGAACATGTAGTAATGACATGATAAAACACTGGAAGCCAAGTATTGAGATGCAAAGAGTGTAGTGTTTGTCGACGGTCGAGGGTGAAATGTCAAGGGTCGAGGATAAAATGGGTTTCAATTCCAAAAGCCTTTGCTGCCGAGGCATAAAAGCAATCGCTGTCCCCAGGCGAATTAAAGGTAACTTCGTACCCTAAAAGGCTATATTTTTTCTATATATGACATCGTAGGGTCCAGTTTAAACATAGGCACGCAAGACGTGCGAGAGTTTTTTTGTGTGTGTGAACTAAAAGTCTCGGATTCATGGAATTGTTTACAGTAATGATTTGGTTAATTTGACAAGTTTTTTGGGTTGCGATGTACAGCGAGAAAGAAACTTTGTGATGTACATACGATGTTACATCGGTAATGGTAAGATAACTAAATAGTAAGCCATAAAATGTTTGACTGCACAAACTACAGTACTCTGACACGTCTCCAGATTAATGTAGATACCACCTTACTTTCTAACAGGCAATTTGATTCGTTCTTTGATACAACCCACACTGTGATTAGTGTGACACGTGCACTTGTATAACTCCCTCACTCACCGATCACATAGCCCCTCCAACCCCCAAGAGGAATTTTTGCTCAAAAATACTCAAGTTAAGAGAACTTTTCGCATTCTATACGAGTCGTAAGTTTACCCTTTTTATACAACACAACGCAACAACACTACTTCACCGAAAATAGAAAGAAAGAGAAAAAAACCTCTCTGACACACTGAATGTCTGATTTAATTAAATTGCACTTTAACTTGGTGCCACGCAGTCTTTAAAGAACATTTGAACAGTTTTCATACTTTTTACCTTTAAAAATATGAAAAGAATGTCATAAATTGCATATTAAATAAAAATATTAAACTGCTACTGCAGAGACGTAAAACCGTCCAGAAATGAAAGCTTCTTTTTTGTTCAATATCCTGGGAACAATAGCCGATAACTTGTCAGCTCTAATTGAATTTACTCCAATATAAAAAACAAAAGTGGCAGTTAGCAAACATCTCGTGGGAACAAGTGGTGACGATTCGTCAGCTCTAATTGGATTTACTCCTTTGTGAAAAACAAGAGTGTCAAATTACCTTTTGTGACTAAAAAATAAAAATATCTCGTTATATTTGCATGCAACGAAAATAAAACAATCGTTACCTGCACTTATTATTGTAAACGTTAAGACTGTTTTAAAGCTAAAGTCTTGTCTCCTCTAAAACATGTCCTAAGAACTAGAAGCGACGATTCGTGACGTCTAATTGAATTTACTCTTTGTGAAAAACAAAAGCATCAAGTTACTCTAAAACAACCCAATGTATGTATGCAACTGTCACACTCCGCTCCAAACCGGACTGAAAATCACAAACCGGCAACATACACGTCAGTCTTTCAATTACCATGGCCAGAGTCCCTGTGTTTAATACAATAAAACGCCCCAGACTTCATATACCTCAAAATTTCCTTTTTTTTCAACTACAATTCGTGTTGGTTATTAATGTGAATAAGCAAAACCCTGATAACATTGAAGAGAAAAGTTAAGTTTCATTAAAACGTATTTTCTCATTCCAGTAGTAAACAAGAACCATTGTAATTGTAAAATCGTCACAGAATAATATCTTTTTGTTCTGTTGACGAAATTAATCGTAGTCTCTTCGCGTTTGACATTGAAGCTTATCAATGGATGCTGAAATTAACGACACGTCCGGAACACTCATGACGAACTCTGCAGCAATATTTAGGTTTCAATACAACACGCAAACGATTTGAGCCTAATCACAATCTCTAAACATTCCCGGTAGTGAATTCCGCCCCCCCTAAAATACAATTGATCCTATAATAGAAACCACATCAACTTGTTTTTCATTCACACCTTACATCTAGTAGTAGAGCGGCTAAGACTCAATTAAAAAACTTATTTAGTGGGAAAAGCTCACATTCATCGCATGCTCTTAGTTATATGCCAAACACTATGTTTCTTTGACTGATTTTCCAGTTGCAAATGATTATCAAACCCGCCCACAAAATCCTCAGCCTAACCCACAGAAAATGTCGACGTAAGCCCAATATATGAATACTTCCTCTTTTATAGAAAAATAAGTATAGCCGTTCTGAACTGTATCGGGATCAAATCTTCTCACATACCATTTACCTTTACGTAATCCTTTTGTTACTTGCCATCGTACATTGGGCATTACGTAATTCTTTTGTTAGACTTGCCATCGAACATTTTTCATATATTAGTTTTCGTTCATAAAAATAAGCCATACATACATCTCTCACTCACTCACTCACACACTCACTCATTCATCCATTGACCCGTCCATAACATACCCCGACACGCCGACTAAGAGGTATTTTTTTTACAAAAAAATAACTCAAAAATGACTTTTAACGTTGTCAAAAATTCCTTTCATGACACGTGCAAGGCGGGAAGGTGCTGAAGAGACCACAGGTGTCGCAAGCTCATGCCTCGAGAAAAGCGAAAAGTAAATTAATTCTCGGACACGTGAGTAGCCTGTGTACAGCCGCCCCCTCCCCTCGAAAAATCGAGGTGAGAGACTTTGCCATCACTGTTATTCCATTCATGTCATTCATAAGACGTCTTATGAAGGAATAACAGTGATGGCAAAGAAAGCTCAAAACGGCAGAGATCAACAAAAATCACAACGGACACACAAGAAATGAGTAAGTTTTATTAATCTTACGTGTAAAATGTTCATATTTCGGAATATTTAGCGATCTTAATCGACCGTATTTAGTTCCCCATACAATCCATCAAAGAGTGTTCAAATTCTCAACGGTATATCTATATCTGTTTACAATTTTACAGCTCAATAGCGTCCTTCGTTTGGAATCCAGAGCATTTTGAATTTCAGGGTTATGGAGGTGCGTGACACAAGGCTATGATCGAGTTTGTCGAAAAATGTATACTTATCCGATGATTTTGAGCCTTTTAAGAAGTTAAAGCATTAGGAAAAGTGCTTATGTAAATGTTTGTTTGATCAGTACTGATAATCAGTCGCCTAGATAGCCAAAGTAAGTTCCAGATGTTTAC